GCAGGGAGCCCGATGCGGGACTCGATCCGGGGACTCCAGGATCATGACCTGAGCTGAAGGCAGTCGCTTAACCAACTGAGCCACCCAGGCGCCCTGTATGATTCCTTTCACACAAAGTACAAAAACAGAAAAAAAAACATCTATGCTATTAGAAGTCAGGATAGTGCCTGTCCTCAATGGCAGGGAGGGGGCTAATAACTGGCAGGGAGCATAAGGGGGTTTGGGGAGGGGGAGCTGGTAATATTTCCTTTTTGTGTTGGAATATTTTAAACACTTTAACTGGTTTTAAAGTTAAGAAAAATAGGGGTGCCTGGCTGGCTCAGTCAGTGGAGCATGCAACTCTTGATCTCTGGGGTCGTAAATTTGAGCCCCACGTTGGGTGTAGAGATTACTTAAAAATTTTTTTTAATTATATAAATAAATAAACATATATTAAGAAAAATAAAGACACAAGTCTTCTCGACAGTTACCAAAAAACCCTCAATCTAACCAAACAGTTCTGCACATCAAATATTTCTAACATGTTTAAATATGACAAGGATGACAAAATAGCCAAATTTTCAAGTTGAATACATTTTCCTAAATGCTTTAATAATTGTAGTCATCCTAATGAATGCATGACTTTATGAGACAGAAGAGGGGAAGAAGTGCATGCTCAATACTTTAACGCAGAAGACTCACTTAGTGAAAGAGCACTATTACCCAACTCTGCTGAGGCAGCAGAGTCCAACAATGTTCCTAAAAAGAAACTGATCTCAGGGAGACCCCTTTTCTCCAAGATCCCAAAGCAATACCTGAGGCATCAGTGGCCAGAACATACTCTTGAGTACAAAGATCTCGTATGGTATCAACAAATTATCCCACGACACTCAAGTAAATTAACACAAAATCCCGTATGCGCTAGCTAGCTCAGGGAGTCGCAATCTTGGCACCAGTGACATCTGGAGCAGGTAACTGTATTGTGAGGCCTGTTGTATACCTTTTAAGATGTTTACCAGCATCTCTGGTCTCTGCCTACTAGATGCCCACAGGTCCCTCCTCCGATCCTCTAGTTGTGATCAAAAATTACTCCAACATTGCCCCACGTCCCCTGAGAGGCAAAACTACCCCCGGCTGAGAACCACTAACCTGGCTAAAATGTTTTTTAGGACCTTCAACTCTCACTTAATGGAAGGAAAATGGGGTGGGAAGGGGAGGGGGCTGGCTGGCTCATTTGGTAGGGCCTGCGACTCTTGATCTCAGGGTTGTGACTTCAAGTCCCACGTTGAGTGTAGAGATTATTTAAAAATAAAAAATCTTAAAAAAAAAAAAGGAAACAAACCTATCTCATAATTGTGTTAACATTAGCTTCTCTACCATATCACTGAGAAAGCCTTGAAAAATCAATCAAATGCCAGGAGCTGACCAAATTTTTTTAAAAACAGAATTATAGGACTATATAAGCTTGGCAAGGATAAAAACCTAGTATTTGAGGGCGCCTGGGTGGCTCAGTTGGTTAAGCGACTGCCTTCGGCTCAGGTCATGATCCTGGAGTCCCGGGATCGAGTCCCGCATCGGGCTCCCTGCTC